ACTTGAAGGTGCGTGGTGAACAAGCCGAACACTTCCTCCGAAGGAAGAAGGCCGAGAGGAACCGACCGACAGTTAATCCGCTCAACTCAAACTTCTCCTCTCGTGGTAAGGGCAAGGCACCTGCAGCTGCTGATGATGCTAATCAAACGTCACAACAGCAATCCCGAAGGCAGCAAAAGGCTTCGGGTCCGAGACTCCAAAAAGAGTACTCTTTTAAGGACGAAGACGTTCCAGCCATCTTCGAATCCCTCCTTGGAAGCAACAGGATCAAGCTACCACCTATCACAAATCAGGAGGAAGCTGACAACACTACGGACCCAAAGTACTGTGCATACCACAGGAGGGTCGTTCATCCCACCAAGGATTGCTTTGCTCTCAAGAATAGCATTCAAACATTGGTTGAAGCCGGCGTCATAGCGCTCAGATAAACCGAATAAGAACGGCAAGACTCCAAAGAGTATACGAGTATAAACTGTTTCTCAATCCTCCGACCGGTATAAGAGGTTAAACTACTCCCTGATACTCCAATAGGTATATGAGTCTAAACTGTTTCCCACTTTTGACGGGAAGTTCCTGAAGGATGTTACACTAATATTCTTAAGGATAACCCGGTCAGGGATTAATGTCCGAACCAGTTCAGCAGAGGAGGCTGGGGGTGGACGATTTATGTAACGGGAAGTTCTTAGAGAATCGTATATCCTTAAGGATAACCCGAACACCCAAATAAGTACAGTACCATACCCAGTTTTGCAGAGGAAGTTGGGGGTGGATGATTCATGTAACGAAAAGTTCCCAAAAGAAATCCATATAGTGTATTCTTAGGGATAACCCGGTCACCACAGCAAGGTAATGAATAAGAAACTCTCATTCAAATTCTCACCACTCTCATTGCTAGAGTCTGGACATAATATTCAGAATTGGTCAAACCTTTCTACAGTTAGGACCAAAACCACAATCAAACCTTCCTATAGTTAGGATCATCTCAAACCTCCCAATTGGTCAAACCTTCTTACAGTTAGGACCACAGTCAAAATCCCCTCTCGATTCCTCCAATGAACGAGAGGTCCACTTTCAAATCGAGTGATCAAACCTTCCTACAGTTAGGGTCATCTCAAACTCCTGCTTGGTCAAACCTTCCTACAGTTAGGACCAAAACCACAATTCACTCTCGATAAACGAGGAATTCAACTTTAGTTCAGTAATCAAACCTTCCAACAGTTAGGGTTATCTGAATCTTTTCGATTCTCGGAGTGGGGATCTCACTCTTAGTTTCACCTTTCCGGATTCTGGGGGTGGAGATCCCACCTCGAGTCTCCTTTCCAGCTGAAGATAGAATATAAAATTCTTCTTCTTCAGTGTCGGGAGATAGAATATAAAATTCTTCCTCTCCCATTTCGGGTTCGTCTTTGCCCCAAGAGAAGACACCAACCTTTTCCAAAAATTTTGTCAATTTAGGATTCATCTTAGGAAGTTTATCCCGAATCCTAAGCAGGGATAACTCTGCGCCTAACACGCGCTGCCGGTTTAGTCTTTTTCCGTAGAAAAAGACACCAGAGTTCAATTCTGGGGTATTCTATCATGAAACCTAAGCAAGGATAAGTCTGCGCTTAACCCGCGCTGCCGGTTAGTTCTTAACCGTCAAAAAGAACACCCGTTCACATATTCAACATTATGGCAGGTTGTTATTAATAACACCAAAATCCATGCCTTACACGCATGGGGAATTTCATCCTGAATCCTAAGAAAGGATATGCCGACGCTTAACACGCGTCGCCGGTTTAGTCTTTCTCCGTGGAAAAAGACACCAGAGTTCGATTCTGGGGTATTTTATCCCGAAGCCTAAGTAGGGATAAGTCAGCGTCTAAAACACGTTGCTGGGCAGCCTATTCCCATAACAATGGTGAAGTCTACGTATTCGAAGTCGTAGCATCAAGTCTAAGGGAGTTCATTCCTTTAGCACAACGTTACATGCAGAACGGATTTAGACAATTCGCATGCTAGCCCGATTCAAACGGTAATCGGTAAAGGCTAATCAAACCCGTTGAAGGCTGGGGGTTAGCCAAAAATCCTAAAGTCAACACCTAACACGTGTCGCCGGGTAGCCTATTCCCGTAACAATGGCGAAGTCTATGTATTCGACATCATAGCACGAAGTCTAAGGGAGTTCATTCCCTTAGCACAACGTTACATGCGGAACGGATTCCGATAATCCGCATGCTAGCCCGACTCAAACGGTAGTCGGTAAAGGCTCATCAAACCCGTTGATGGCTGAGGGTTTGCCAAAAATCCTATGAGTATTATGGTCAATCATTTCAAACGGAATGAGGAATCATAATAAAGATAAAGACAAAAATCAGGTCCACTAAAGAGAATCAAATGTCAAGGTTTTCAGCAAATAAAATCATACATCAAGCCCATGGCTAAGAACCTGCTGACTGAATTCAGACAGCTTCTCATCATAAGAGCGTCTAAGCTCCTCCTGCAACTCAGCTCTGACAGACTCTTCGTTCGCGGCTAAAGTCCTCACAGCAACCTCCTCTGTCTCAGCCAGTGTCTGCTTCAAGGACTTCAGCTCATCAGATAAAGCAGCATGTGCTTGCTGATTTTGCATCTTCGCGTCTTCCTTCTCACGGAGTTCTCGTCGGAGCTGATCTATCTGAGAATCAAGCTCCTCAAGTGAAGATGATCTAGTGGCAAGGTCAGCCTCAACTCGATCTATTCGGCCCCGCTGCACCTGAATCTCGAGCTCTGGAGAATATTTTTCTAAATATTCTTAAGGATAACTCAACAACACTATGCCGGACAACGCGCCGCATATATGGACTCAACAATCGATGGTCAATTCTATGTTGAACCAACAAGCACGAGCTAAATCAAGAATCGACTTCAAGTTCAAAATTCCGACAACGGTCAGACAATAAATGCAGCATCGGAATCATTACAGACATTCGACAAAGCACCGAACAGCCTGGGGGACTGAAGGAATCAAGAACGGAAGCCACTCCAAATATCCCGTCTTAACCAATCGAAGAATGGGACAATCATATCCAAAGTATTCCAGACTCTTCTATAAAAGAACGAGGCTGAAATACTTTGGAGGGGGTATCTGTAGGCATATAAAATTGCTTATAGGTCCCTTAGCATAGCTCGGCACAAACCGACGAACCAACGAGGCGACGAGATCGACGAATCGCACAGAAGCGACAGAATGCATCCATACGCGTTCGGAATCAAGCCAAGTGTTAAGGAATCAACGAGTCATCCAACCGAGAACAGACTCGGACGAATCACGATCGAATCAAGATCAATTTCGGACTCGAACTCAGAAGCGGATTTACTGCCAAATCAGGAATCCGACTCACTGCCAAATCAGGAATCCGACTCACTGCCAAATCAGACCGAATCACGGACAAAACCGGAAAACGGACACAACTCGAAAAAATCGGAAAACACCGCCCGCGGGGGCTCGGCCAAAGCCGAGCCACCTCAAGGTGGCTCGGCCAAAGCCGAACCACCCTGAGGTGGCTCGGCAGCCGAGCCACCT